ATTAACAACAGACTTTCAGCATGCTTATAGAGCAGGGCACTCAACATGTACTGCATTGTCACAAATGACGGATGATTGGTTGAAAGAAATTGAAAATAAGAAGATTGTGGGAGCTGTACTGTTAGATTTCAGTGCAGCCTTTGATATTATTGACCATAACTTGTTGTTGAGAACTTATGTATTATGGCTTTTCAACATCTGCCATATCCAGGATTAGGAGCTAACTATCTAATAGAACTCATAGGGTTTTCTTTAATGGAAGCTTCTATAATGTCAAACATTAGAGATGCTTCAGGGCAGCTCTCTAGGCCCTCTACTATTTTCACCAATGACCTGCCACTGGCATTAAACAAAGCATGTGTGTCCATGTATGCTGAGGATTCAACCATATACGCATCAGCAACCACAGCTAATGAAGTCACTGAAACCCCTAACAAAGAGTTGCAGTCTGTTTTGGAATGGGTGGCCAGTAATAAACTGGTCCTGAACATCTCTAAAACTAAGAGCATTGTATTTGGTACAAATCATTCCCTAAATTCTAGACCTCAGCTGAATCTGGTAATGAATGGTGTGGCTGTTGAAGTTGAGGAGACTAAATTACTTGGTGTTACCTTAGATTGTAAACTGTCTTGGTCAAAACATATAGATTCAATGGTTGTAAAGATGGGGAGAGGTCTAGTTAAGCTGCAGCTGGCCCAGAACAGAGCGGCATGTCTTGCTCTTCATTGTAATCAGAGGGCTAATATTAATACTATGTAGTTGAGGAAAGACTGACTGCGTCACTTCTTGTCTTTATAAGAAACAATTTGTTGGAAATTCCAAATTGTTTGCATAGTCAACTTACACACAGCACTGACACACACACGTACCCCACCAGACATGCCACCAGGGTTCTTTTCACAATCCCCAGGTCCAGAACAAATTCAAGGAAACGTACAGTATTATACAGAGCCATGACAGCATGGAACTCCCTTCCATCTTATTTAGCATAAGTGAACAGCAAACCTGGTTTCAAAAATCAAATAAAGCAGAACCTCATGGCACAACGCCTCTCCCCAATGTGACCTACTTGTTGTGTGTATGTACTGTATGTGTAACTGATAGATGCACACACACACAACATGTTAATATTTTTTAAATGTAATAAATTGTTGTCTTTTTTTTGTCTGCTGTGTCTTTTTCATTATGTGTCGGACCCCAGTACAGAAGGGGAAAAAAGTATTTAGTCAGCCACCAATTGTGCAAGTTCTCCCACTTAAAAAGATGAGAGAGGCCTGTAATTTTCATCATAGGTATACGTCAACTATGACAGACAAAATGAGAATTTTTTTTCCAGAAAATCACATTGTAGGATTTTTTATGAATTTATTTGCAAATTATGGTGGAAAATAAGTATTTGGTCAATAACAAAAGTTTCTCAATACTTTGTTATATACCCTTTGTTGGCAATGACACAGGTCAAACGTTTTCTGTAAGTCTTCACAAGGTTTTCACACACTGTTGCTGGTATTTTGGCCCATTCCTCCATGCAGATCTCCTCTAGAGCAGTGATGTTTTGGGGCTGTCGCTGGGCAACACGGACTTTCAACTCCCTCCAAAGATTTTCTATGGGGTTGAGATCTGGAGACTGGCTAGGCCACTCCAGGACCTTGAAATGCTTCTTACGAAGCCACTCCTTCGTTGCCCGGGCGGTGTGTTTGGGATCATTGTCATGCTGAAAGACCCAGCCACGTTTCATCTTCAATGCCCTTGCTGATGGAAGGAGGTTTTCACTCAAAATCTCACGATACATGGCCCCATTCATTCTTTCCTTTACACGGATCAGTCGTCCTGGTCCCTTTGCAGAAAAACAGCCCCAAAGCATGATGTTTCCACCCCCATGCTTCACAGTAGGTATGGTGTTCTTTGGATGCAACTCAGCATTCTTTGTCCTCCAAACACGACGAGTTGAGTTTTTACCAAAAAGTTATATTTTGGTTTCATCTGACCATATGACATTCTCCCAATCCTCTTCTGGATCATCCAAATGCACTCTAGCAAACTTCATACGGGCCTGGACATTTAAGCAGGGGAACACGTCTGGCACTGCAGGATTTGAGTCCCTGGCGGCGTAGTGTGTTACTGATGGTAGGCTTTGTTACTTTGGTCCCAGCTCTCTGCAGGTCATTCACTAGGTCCCCCCGTGTGGTTCTGGGATTTTTGCTCACCATTCTTGTGATCATTTTGACCCCACGGGGTGAGATCTTGCGTGGAGCTCCAGATCGAGGGAGATTATCAGTGGTCTTGTATGTCTTCCATTTCCTAATAATTGCTCCCACAGTTGATTTCTTCAAACCAAGCTGCTTACCTATTGCAGATTCAGTCTTCCCAGCCTGGTGCAGGTCTACAATTTTGTTTCTGGTGTCCTTTGACAGCTCTTTGGTCTTGGCCATAGTGGAGTTTGGAGTGTGACTGTTTGAGGTTGTGGACAGGTGTCTTTTATACTGATAACAAGTTCAAACAGGTGCCATTAATACAGGTAACGAGTGGAGGACAGAGGAGCCTCTTAAAGAAGAAGTTACAGGTCTGTGAGAGCCAGAAATCTTGCTTGTTTGTAGGTGACCAAATACTTATTTTCCACCATAATTTGCAAATAAATTCATTAAAAATCCTACAATGTGATTTTCTGGATTTTTTTCTTCTCAATTTGACTGTCATAGTTGACGTGTACCTATGATGGAAATTACAGGCCTCTCTCATCTTTTTAAGTGGGAGAACTTGCACAATTGGTGGCTGACTAAATACTTTTTTTCCCCACTGTACCAGTGAGTCACCCTCATATGTTACATTACAAAGGCGCCTCAAGGAAAGTAAAAGGCAATTTGATTTGAGTCAATAAGTACATTACATTACACTAAAAACAGGCACGTAATCTGCAATCTTTATTGTGAGAGCCATTGTGACATTAAAATTCCAATATTGGTGTTTGGTCTCCACTCATTGAGATCGGGCGGATCAATAAGCAAGGGGCACTTTCCAGTTACCAACTACGCTGATGTCCGGGCAGCAGAAGGATTTAGGTCGTTTGTGGTTATTATTCGAGCCATGCTTTTATAGTTCAGGTCGACTGGACAGTGAGGGCGGGGCTAGGGGCTGAGGCTCCTTGCCTGATTGGCTGAAACGTTCCGTGGTCTCGCTTAGAAGGAGGTGCACCCAGCCCCAGGGAGCAGAGTCCCTTTCGTCAGGGAATGTAATATTGTTCCATTATTGATGGATAAATCCTTTGTACAACCGGGAAAGGTGGGTAATTGTTCAGGGCATAATGTTCCCTACATAATGATACAAAACATGACCTGCTCTCCTTGAAATAGAGCGGTTATTCACAAAGTTTAGAATACACAATATAATTTAGCATTTCTACAGCACACAATGATCATAGCATGCATCAGTACACTTCTTGCCTCCCAGCCCGGATCCTTATGTAATGATTTCTCCCAAAAAGCAAGGTTTTTGGTGTTTACATTTACATTTACATTTTCGTCATTTAGCAGACGCTCTTATCCAGAGCGACTTACAAATTGGTGCATTCACCTTATGATAGCCAGTGGGATAACCACTTTACAATATTTGTTTTATTTTTTTGGGGGTGGGGTGGGGTAGGGGGGTAGAAGGATTACTTTTATCCTATCCCAGGTATTCCTTAAAGAGGTGGGGTTTCAAGTGTCTGCGGAAGGTGGTGAGTGACTCCGATGTCCTGGCGTCGTGAGGGAGCTTGTTCCACCATTGGGGTGCCAGAGCAGCGAACAGTTTTGACTGGGCTGAGCGGGAACTGTGCTTCCGCAGAGGTAGGGGGGCCAGCAGGCCAGAGGTGGATGAACGCAATGCCCTCGTTTGGGTGTAGGGACTGATCAGAGCCTGAAGGTACGGAGGTGCCGTTCCCCTCACAGCTCCATAGGCAAGCACCATGGTCTTGTAGCAGATGCGAGCTTCAACTGGAAGCCAGTGGAGTGTGCGGAGGAGCGGGGTGACGTGAGAGAACTTGGGAAGGTTGAACACCAGACGGGCTGCAGCGTTCTGGATGAGTTGTAGGGGTTTAATAAAGAATGTTTTCCTGATTCTATTTGAATAGTCTGGATTCTGTCCGTTTAGAGCAGGGCAAACCATTTAGCGGGCCCCTGCTATTACTCTGCCATCCTGTCCTGGATAGAACGTGTGAAGTGGATGTTCTGCCATTTAATGGACCTCTGGAGTGTTATCTTGTAAAGGCGTCAGCATACTTCAGTCAGCTTCACTTGAACCATAAGCTCGCATACTCCCTTAAAAGACCTTCGCTTGAAAAACTAGAAAAAGTGGCAATAGTACTGTTTGTCCATTTTGAGATGCCATAACCACTTCCTCAAAATAGTCAGAATAACTCAAGAAATCTGTCATTAATTTTGACCTTTTTGCCGAGGAGATCTTAGTAGCGCAATTTTACACCTAACTAAGATGTTTGGTGCAGTATTTCTCAAAGAAAGAATTTGCATGAAAACAAGTCATCTCTCGTTGAATGACAACAAAGACTTTATTGAAGAATCCCTACTGATGACCAATTACCAACGAAGGTGCATAGACTCTGGCTACCGATTTCAGCTTGCCTAAAGAAAAAAATGTGTGTGCCCGAACAGCCGAAAAACCCCTTACCAAAGTCCAAAGCGAACAAAAACGTCACAAAATGTCGTCATAATATATGCACAAACTCTTCCAAACTGTTTAGTCTGGGAAGCATGCGGACACCTTAATCCAGAGTGCATTGGGAATGGGGGAAAAGAGTTGGAATTGGCCTGGTCTTTCATCAGCCGACTTCCCTACAATAGCTCCTTTTTTTCTAAGAGTGTACTAAGTAATTGAAATACATATCCAAAAACTAAGCCAAGGTAAGTGGAAATATCATGTTAGGTTTCCAGTGGAACACCCCTTAACAGAAAGGGTATACAGTAAATTGTCTAATAAATCAACATAACAGTCAGAAAGACTTACGACAGGATAGCGGATAGGGAGAGCATCTCGGCTGTGAGGTAAGAGAGGTAGCCCAGGACGAAGATGAAGCCTGGCTCGATAATCTGGATGTTCTTGGTGCATCTGGTCAGGAGCGAGATCAGCACAGCAAAGATGACACCAATCAGGGAGCCTCCAACCGCCACCACGAAGAATGAGACTACACAGAGCAGAGGAGGGTGATAAAAAAGAGAGAGAGAAAGAGGAGGAAGAAGAGAGTCAGAAGGACATAGAGAGGGAACAAAGAAAGTAATTATTTCATGAAAACATAAAATGTTAGTTAGACCAGCGGTATGCAACCCTGTTCCTGGAGAGCCGCAGGTACTGTAGGATTTTGTCCCAACTAGGTACCCCACCTGACCAACTGAGCTAATTGATCAGTTCAGTGATTGCCTAAATTCAACATACTTGGTCTTCCAGGTCGGTTAAATCAAAAACCGCTCTCCAGGACCAGTGTTGCCTACCCCTGGGTTAAACAGACTCTATTGCTTGTTGCATTACCCTTACAGTTTGCTTCAAGTTGGCACAATAAGCTGTCACGTTTGACTATCTGACAGGGCTCCATTTGTTGGCCTGAGAATCAAACACTTATTCCATACATAGTGCAGTACTTTTGACAAGAGCCCTATGGAACATGGTCAAAATAAGTGCACTATATAAGGAATAGGGTCAAAAGAAGTACAAAAAAAGTATGAAAATGTATGCACTCACTACTCTATGTCGCTCTGCTAAATGACTAAAATGTCAAATGTAAAAGAAGTGCACTATATAAGGAATAGGGTGCCATTTTGGACGTAGCCAAGGTGTGGCGCTCTTACGTACTTATGCCTTTGATGATCTCTACAGCGTTGATTTGTGCCCCTCCAAGCGACACAAATGCATTAAACACATTGAACAGCACCTGAGGGAACATGGAAATAAAGATGAACGGTCACTGAGGAGGTGGGGAGGTTAAGCAACCAAATCAATTGAACATTACATTATTTAATGTGTTACAATTAATTGAATCAATTGTGTAATATAATCCATTAGATAAAAATTGTATTCTTAAATCATTTGAATGTGATTGATGTTGTTATGTAGGCCTACAAACAGACAAGTAAAGCATGTGACTGACCGGTGCAGTTCAGTCAAAGTGCCTTGTCTTGTGTATTGCCTTTGTACTTTATTTGTCGGGTTTAGGTTTCCAATGATTAATGTCATTACATTTGGAACTCCACAAACTTCTTATTTAACACATTACAAAAAGTTAAGTAAATGTGTTTGGCAAAAAACTGTAGTGTACACATTAAGTCTGTGTCCCAAATGGCACCCTATTCCTTACCAAGGGGCATATTCAGACTTACCCTACGCACGTGTGTAATGAGGTTTGTGTGGGTGGCTCCCTTGCGCGCACTGAATACATTTAATTAAATCCCAGAAAACACACCCACTGGGTGGCCTACCAATTTGCTCAATGAGTTTTTCTTCAAATCGTTTTTCGGTTCATTCATCTAAAGCAATCCCTTTAAATACTGAATTTGATTGGCACAACATTAGAATGTAGCCTATGGAGAAGGCGTTCAGAATGGAGATGAATGAAAGATGCATATGCATATTTATCTCTGTTTCAGAACCCATGCTTAGATTTAAAAACACTTAAGAGTGAAATATATATATATATTTTTATTAACCTTAGGCTTACGCACACAATAAAAAAACTGTGATTTAATTAATTCAGAAAATTGCCACATTCAGTTCTTCAACCCATGATAAAGTTGGAAGATTAGTGTACATATAAATATAATATGGAGAATAGTGTCCAGTAGTATACCCTGACCTATTGCCCGCCCTAACCATGGAACTGTGTGATCCCACTGGTCACAAACTGGTTGAATCAACATTGTTTCAACGTAATTTGTCAACGTATTGTGACATGGAATCTACATATGAAACACATTTAGATTTGCAAAAAGTCATCAAGCAGTACTATTTTCATCTAATTTCAACCAGCGTTGCAAAGATTGAATTGAGGGCAATACTTCTACTTAAATACAATCCCACAGAGCACAAAAAGGTTGAATTAATGTTCAATGTAATTTGTCAACAAATTGTGATGTGGAAAATGTCTACGTGGAAATGTCTACGTGGAAAATACATTGGATTCATAAAAAGTCAGCAACTGCTGATTTGAGGGTGACTTTTCTACCACAGGAGTATGTCATCATGGTAACCAATTTTCAACGTAGACAAACCTTGTATAAAATATGTTGAATTTGTACCTTTGAAACAACGTCAGATCTTCAACATTATATCCACTATCAGAAAAAAGTGTATGCCGGGCAGCACCTCCTACTGGAAAGTTGATCTATCTACAGCTATGGTTGCTAAACTTCTAATAGTTAGCCTAATTTCAGTTAATGTGTATAGAGCAGTGGATGATCTCCAAGGCTGGAAGACTGTTTCCCTTTTTCTCAGTGATACAACAAATTATCTATTACCAGTGTGTTCATATACCTACATTTAAAAATATATAATTTAAGTGTCCACTTCACAATAACATCACTTCCAGTTGACCGGGTCAGCTCTAGTAGGGCAGAAATTTGACGAACTGACTTGTTGGAAAGGTGGCATCCTATGACGGTGCCACGTTGAAAGTCACTGAGCTCTTCAGTAAGGCTTTTCTACTGCCAATGTTTGTCTATGGAGATTGCATGGCTGTGTGCTCGATTTTATACACCTGTCAGCAACGGGTGTGGCTGAAACAGCCAAATCCAAGTAATCTCCCAACATCCGTGCCTGACCTCACTAATGCTCTTGTGGCTGAATGGAAGCAAGTCCCCGCAGCAATGTTCCAACATCTAGTGGAAAGCCTTCACAGAAGAGTGGAGGCTGTTTATAGCAGCAAAGGAGGGAACAACTCCATATTAATGCCCATGATTTTGGAATGAGACATTCAACGAGCACTTTTGGTCATGTAGTGTATGTTTTTAATATGTTTTATTCACGTCTTCATCTCAATCCCCCAAAAAATCTAAGTTAAATAATAGGACTATATTGTTTAATTTGATTTAACTTCGATTTTTGGTTGAGATAGAGACGTGAATCCTACACATGATTTATTAAATTGAAGACAATCTGGATATTTAATTGTTTTTGGTTGTCAACGCAAACAAATATCAACATTTGAAGGAGTTGACTTTTTCCACATTTTGTTACGTTACAGCCTTATTCTAAGATTCATCTTTTTTTTTACTCATCAATCTACACACAATACCCCATAATGACAAAGCAAAAACAGGTTTTTAGAGTATTCAGACCCTTTACTCAGCACCTCAGCGATTAAAGCCTCAAGTCTTCTTGGGTATGACGCTACAAGCGGGCTGTCATGTGCCTTTTACTGAGGAGTGGCTTCCATCTGTAACGTAACAAAACGTGGAAAAAGTCAAGGGGTCTGAATACTTTCCGAATGCACTGTATCTGTGCGACTGGCTTAATCCTATTTTTTTATTTAAATGTTTGGTTTAAATGGAGACGTGAATCCAACATATCATTGGTTAATTTATCGACGACTTAACAGACTATTTACTGTATTGCAAAAGTGATATTGAATGTTATATGATTGTCAACACAACCAAATATCTATATTTCTGTGCCACTGACTTAGACTGGCTTCCAGTTTGTCAAAAAGATTATAATTTATAATACAATTTCAAAGCTGAAATGTCTTGAGTCAATAATTATTCAACCCCTTTGTTATGGCAAGCCTAAATAAGTTTAGGAGTAAAAATGTGCTTAACAAATCGCAAAATAAGTTGTGTGGACTCAATAATAGCGGTTAACATGATTTTTAAATAACTACCCCATCTCTGTACCCCACACATACAATTATCTGTAAGGGCCCTCAAACGAGTAGTGAATTTCAAGCACACGTTCAACCACAAAGACCAGGGAGGTTTTTCAAGGCCTTGCAAATAAGGGAACCGATTGGTAGATGTGTAAAAAATCATAATTTAAAAAAGCAGGTGGTGAATATCCCTTTGAGCATGGTGAAGTTATTAATTAAGTTTGGATGGTGTATCAATACACCCAGTCACTACAAAGATACAGGTGTCCTTCCTAACTCAGTTGCTGGAGAGGAAGGAAACTGCTCAGAGAGGCCAATGGTGATTGAAAGAAAGTTACCGAGTTTAATGGTTGTGATATGAGAACTGAGGATGGATCAACAACATTGTAATTACTCCACAATAATAACCTAAATGACAGGAACCCTGTACAGAATACATTTTTTCCAAAACATGCATCCTGTTGTCAACAAGGCACTTTAGTAATACTGCAAAAAAATATGGCAAAGAAATTAACTTTTTAATCTGAATCCAAAGCGTTCTGTTTGGGGCAAATCCAACACAACACATCACTCAGTACACTCTTAATATTTTCAATCATGGTGGTGGCTGCATAATTTTATGGGTTGTCTTGTCATCGGCAAGGTCTAGGGAGTTTTTTAGGATAAAAAGAAACAGAATACAGGCAAAATCCTTTCCAGCAGGACAATAACCTAAAACACAAGGCCAAATCTTTAATGCAGGGAAACTTAAATCCATTCTACCTCATTTCTACAAGCATGTTAAATGTGCAACCAAATGAAAAAAAACTCTGGACCACCTTTACTCCACACACAGAGACGGGTACAAAGCTCTCCCTCGTCCTCCATTTGGCAAATCTGACCATAATTATATCCTCCTGATTCCTGCTTATAAGCAAAAACTAAAGCAGGAAGCACCAGTGACTCAGTTAATAAGAAAGTGGTCAGATGACGCAGATGCTAAGCTACAGGACTGTTTTGCTAGCGCAGACTGGAATATGTTCTGGTATTCTTCCAATGGCATTGAGAAGTACACCACATCAGTCACTGGCTTCATCAATAAGTGCATCGGTGATGTCGTCCCCACAGTGACCGTACGTACATACCCCAACCAGAAGCCATGGATTACAGGCAACATCCACACTGAGCTAAAAGGTAGAGCTGCCGCTTTCAGGAGCGGGACTCTAAACCGGACGCTTATAAGAAATCCTGCGATGCCCTCCGACGAACCATCATACAGGCAAAGAGTCAATACAGGACTAAGATTGAATTGTACTACACCAGCTCCGACGCTCGTTGGATGTGGCAGGGCTTGCAAACTATTACTGACTACAAGGGGAAGCACAGCCGCGAGCTGCCCAGTGACAGGAGTTTACCAGACAAGCTAAATCACTTCTGTGCTCGCTTCGAGGCAAGCAACACTGAAGCATGCATGAGAGCATCAGCTGTTCCGGATGACTATGTGATCACGCTCTCCGTAGCCGATGTGAGTAAGACTTTTGAGCAGGTCAACATTCACAAGGCTACAGGGCCAGAATGATTACCAGGACGTGTACTCCGAGCATGCGCTGACCACCTGGCAAGCATCTTCACTAACATTTTCAACAGCCCACCATAGTCCCTGTGCCCAAGGAACACTTAGATAACCTGCCTAAATGACTACCGACCCGTAGCACTCACGTCTGTAGCCATGAAGTGCTTTGAAAGGCTGGTCATGGCTCACATCAACACCATTATCCCAGAAACCATAGACCCACTCCAATTTGCATACCGCCCCAACAGATCCACAGATGATGCAATCTCTATTGCACTCCACACTGCCCTTTCCCACCTGGACAAGAGGAACACCTACGTGAGAATGCTAGTCATTGACTACAGCTCAGTGTTCAACACCATAGTGCCCTCAAAGCTCATTACTAAGCTAAGGACCCTTGGACTAAACACCTCCCTCTGCAACTGGATCCTGGACTTCCTGACGGGCGGCCCCCAGGTGGTAAAGGTAGGTAACAACACATCTGCCACGCTGATCCTCAACACGGGAGCCCCTCAGGGGTGTGTGCTCAGTCCCTTCCTGTACTCCCTGTTCACCCATGATTGCATGGCCAGGCACGACTCCAACACCATCATTAAGTTTGCCGACGACACAACAGTGGTAGGCCTGATCACCAAAAACGATGAGACAGCCTCTAGGGAGGAGGTCAGAGACCCGGCCGTGTGGTGCCAAGATAACAACTTTTCCCTCAACATGATCAAGACAAAGGAGATTATTGTGGACTACAGGAAAAAAAAGAGGACTGAGCACGCCCCCATTCTCATCGACGGGGCTGTAGTGGAATACGTTGAGAGCTTCAAGTTCCTTGGTGTCCACATCACCAACAAACTATCATGGTCCAAACACACCAAGACAGTCATGAAGAGGGCACGACAAAGCCTATTCCCCCTCAGGAAACTGAAAACATTTGGCATGGGTCCTCAGCTCCTCAAAAAGTTATACAGCTGCACCATCGAGAGCATCCTGACTGGTTGCATCACCGCCTGGTATGGCAACTGCTCGGCCTCCGTCCGCAAGGCACTACAGAGGGTAGTGCGTTCCACCCAGTACATCACTGTGGCCAAGCTTCCTGTCATCCAGGACCTCTATACCAGGCGGTGTCAGAGGAAGGCCCTAAAAATAGTCAGTCTCCAGCCACCCTAGTCATAGACTGTACTCTCCATTACCGTAGCCCCAAGTCTAGCTCCAAAAGGCTTCTTAACAGCTAATCATGTCTTCCCAGACTTTTACGCTGCTGTTACTCTGTTTATTATCTATGCATAGTCACTTTAACTCTACCCACATGTACATATTACCTCAATTACCCCGACTAACCGGTGCCCCCTCACATTGACTCTGTACCAGTACCCCCTGTATATAGCCTCCCTACTGTTATTTTATTTTACTGCTGCTCTTTAATTATTATTATTTTTAACTTATCTCTTTTTTTACTTAACAACTGCATTGTTGGTGAAGGGCTTGTAAGTAAGCATTTCACTGTAAGGTCTACACCTGTTGTATTCGGCGCATGTGGCAAATAACATTTGATTTGATTTTAAATCTACACTGGAGTTGCTTACTAAGACGACATTGAATGTTCCTGAGTGGCTTAGTTACAGTTTTGACTTAAATCGACATGAAAATCTATGGCAAGACTATCTAAAATCTATGGCTGTCTAACAATGATCAACAATCAACTTGACAGAGCTTGAAGAATTTTAACCTTTTCACGTGTGAGTTACAAATATCTCTAACGGTCGCCCCAGCGTGAGTTTATTTTTTTATGTGTGTGATGTCAGAATGCACTTACTGTTCCAAAATATGTTTGTTACGTAACATGACAGTTAACCCACGCTGCCCTCAAACCAAGGCACTCTGCCTGCTAATTAACTATAGGCTATGGTTCAACATGTCAATTTCAAATTATTTTCTAACAAGTTTTATTTTTTAACAACAGTTTGAATTGAGGTGTGTTCCGCCTCCTCATTCATTCACATAGAAGAAGCCCATTTCACTGTTGCGGACAATTTACTTTGAGGCATTACTGAGCAGGACACACTTCTCTCTTCAATGAGAGCCCAAGCACAAACTTTTTCCTCCCTGGCACATTTTCCGGCTGGCGCCCGCATTGCCTTCACTACTGATAACAACTTTGGACTTGTGTGCGTTCCTATCAAAGTGCCTTATACGCTATCATTATAGTTTCTGTATATCATGTTGTCATTTCTACTGTAGCACACTGTATGTATGTATGGAGCATTATGTATTTACTTTTATTCAAGTTTTCAAGTACTGTTGACGAATCATGCATTCCGATTCTTGTATCGATTGTAATGGACACATATGATGTGTGTAAAATACTTTTTTGAAGGTTGTACTGATTATGATGAGCTAATGCTAAGCTAATTGCCAGCTATGTGTGGCGCCATGTTTGTTGACATCATACAATGCATTCTGGTTGTCACATAAACGTCTGTCAGGGATGATTCACTCTTCTTTCGAGTAAACTTCTGGAAGTGAATGATGAAAGTGAATGATGGTAGATGACACACCCCCTTCAACATGCATACTGCAAACAGACTCAACTCATCTTGTCAGCTCTTCTTATCATCTTTGGTTGACACAAAAAAATAAACATGGCTGCGTGCATAAACTACCCATCGTCGGAATACTTTCGATATAAGTGTTTTACTCAATTATTTCGATCACTGGTGAGGTCACCCATGATGTGTTGAATTGTAAATAGTAATTGCTATTAGCTAATTCATATTATGGTTTCTGTCAGTCGAGAGTTAGCTAAATATGACCGCTTGTGCTAGGTCACTCTTTCCTCAGTTAGCACTACGACTAATGTAGCCTACATTTTCCGGTTTGGATGAGAATTGTTACTTCTGTGAATGTCTGAACATTGCATCCAAAAATAAACTGGTCACATTGAGGACATAACGTTGTAAAGACTATGTTTGTGCAAAATGTTTCTGTGGCCAGCTCAAACGCTGACTGTTGCGTCAATCGTAACTGGACATTCTAAATAAGTGTTCTAATCACACCGGTTTGAGCGTACGCTGCAGGGACCACTGTAGAATAATCACACCTGTGTATTCGTGTCAAAGGGTTAAAAGAATAATGGGCAAATATTATACAATCCAGGTGTTTAAAGCATCTTAGAGACTTACCCAAAAAGACTCACAGCTGTAACCGCCGCCAAAGGCTTCTATAAAGTATTGACTCAGGGGTGTGAATACTTATGTAAATGAGATATTTATGCATTTGCAAATATTTCTAAAAACATGTTTTTACTTTGTCACTATGGGGTATTGTGTGTAGATGGGTGAGAAAAATACATACTGTATTTTGAATTGAGGCTGTAACACAACAAAATGTGGAATAAGTCAAGGGGTATGAATACTTTCTGAAGGTACTGTAGCATGAAAAGGATTCAGATCTTTTTGCTATAATAATCTGCGCAGAATCTCGAACAGCATTGATCACTTGCACTATGTACTTTTAAATTAATCTCAACTGCAATCCAAGTAATTTGGACAGTGATAACACATTAAGTTGTGGTAAAAATAAAGACACTTTAACTTTGTTGTGCTTTTAAATGGCTGAAACACAGTGATGACATATTTAGATGACTATTTTTTTTCCATTGGCATGTGCTTGTGCTTTTAGATGGTTCAAATAATAGTTGTAACACATTGGGAATTCAACAAACTCCGTCTGTCTTTTTGAGTGGGTGAATAGTGGTTGAAATCTCATTGATCAACATCTCAACCAAATATTACCTAAATGTCCACGTTGAAATGACGTGGTGTGCCCAGTGGGATGATATGGCCAAGTATCGCGCCATGCGTCAGGTTCAAACTGTTACAGCTTGGTCTGCGCTCCATAATGATTTAATTAGCCTACATGTCAATTTTCTTACATTAAATATGATCAACTATGACAAATTATCCTCAGCAATAACGACACGGACGTGAAAGCGTTTACAGAGGAAGCAAATGGAATGAAATGGAATTATACAAACTGTAGGCTACCAACTGAAAGGAACCTGATCAAAATGGCCTACGGGCCCTGATCAAAAGTAGTGCACTATATAGGACAGGGGTATTCAAATGCTATTTCAGAAGGTCCAACCTCACAAATTTCCTAGGATGGCAAAGGTCCAGAGGGATATTGTCATTATCGGATTGTCATAATGGGCGTAGTATGCAGATTTAAAGCTAATTTCCTGCAATTCTATAGATTTTTCCATGTCTTATGTGTGGTCATGTGATATCTAAGGGACTCAAACATTACAACAAAATCAATGGGCTGAAAAACCTAGCTAAAAACGTATGCTGACATCGGCTAGTTGATCAACTGTAATAAATAGCTCTTTAAGGTCAGCAATGACTGACATAACAAGATTAAAACTGCTGATGCCCTGCCAAATAATGAAATTGCAGCTTGTGTATTCAACTATTACATATTTCAAGAGTAAGTTGAAAGCCAGACTGAGTTCCAAAAATAAATAAATAATTGAGGCCCACGGTCCGTATTGACACCGCCTATTGTGTATGGCTGATATAGAGAAAAGGGTGCAATTTGGGACGCAACTAATAATGATGAATGAGGATAATCAAGTTTGTGAGACTGACCACTGTGACGCCGTCGTTGAGAAGGGACTCCCCAAACACCAGGATGTACAGGACTTCGTTGACATGGACCTCCTCAAACACGGCAATCACAGCCACGGGGTCCACAGCAGCAATCAGACTCCCAAACAACAACAACTGCAGGAGACCAGTGTTGATATCACCTACAGAGGCCCAGAGTAAAAGGTGTTATGATCTCAGACCTTTGATCTACCTTACACATTAACTCTGAGGACCTCACAAATGCTAGTTCCAATCATCTGAAAACTATAGAAGAACCCGTGGTCAGTTCAGGCTTTGGTTGGGCCTGTCCCAAATGGCACCCTATTCCCTATATAGTGCATTACTTTTGACCAGGGCCCTCTGGTCAAAAGTAGTACACTAGCATAGGAAATCGGGTGCTATAGGAACGCACACGTTGCCTGCCTTACCCATGGCCCCACCCAACCAGCACCCCCAAAGGGCGAGTCCCAAAGTGGCAGCGTTCCAGCAGGTGCCAATAACAGCGTAAACCAGGATGGCGCCCAAGTTGCCGAAGAACAGCTTGTTAGGCATGGAGTAGCCCGCGTCCAGGACGATCTGGGGCAGCAGGTAGAAGAAGAAGGTGAAGGGCTGCAGCCTGAAGGTCTGCACCTTGTCTGCCCCGTAGATGATGCCGCCCAGGACCCAACCGATGCAAATGAGGAGGCCGCTCTCCGGGATCACGCTGGTCAGGCTGGGGCTCAGCTGGAAAACTGTTGGTGAACAGAGTGAGACAAGGACAAAAGAGACATTCAGAGATACGTAGAGTGAATGAAAGACAAAAAGGGTCATCATTTGGTAGATTCTGGTGGAGCAAAGTCAAACAGACCTGAGCCCGGTTTCCCGAGAGCGATTGAATTTAGGCTTACAAATGTTTTAATGGTGCATTTTTCCTACAATGGCCGAAGATGTAACACTAATTTCCCAAAACACCATGCAGAGAAAACATTCCCTAAGTGCGTTGTTAAGGCATGAGTCGATACTGATTGGATCGAAAGAAAGGCAGCGCTGCTCTCGGATCAGCATTCTACCTTTCATATCTTACCTAACATTATAATTAATCCACAATTCTGACGAGGCATCAGATCCTAGAGAGATATTATCACCTATGGCTACAAATATTGAGGCGGCTTATTCTAATGCTTACCCTATAATGCACTAAATCGAGATTTGGCACATCATTGTGCACGTTACACATAATGAAATATATTGATTGAAATATATTGAAATTACAGACAGTAGCATAGAAATAGCTAAATAAAACTCAACTGAATGAACATGGAATTGATTGTAATGTCATTTAAATAATAGCTCTACAGTATGTAGCCTACACTGTATTTATATTTCTAATACAGTCATCTCGGTTTTCATTTAATCATATTTTTATCCTTCGCTGGTTAGTAACAATGTAAAGAAATTGGCAACTTTGTATTTGTATTCACATTTGTTCTGAAGTTATTGGCGGTCACAGAAAGACATATAAACATCTTGATTTTATGTTTAGTGGAAATCTTCTGAGTATAAAGTGACGCGGAAGGGCAAAAACGACAACAATCTTAGCTGTTCTACAAGTGGTCTGAGGCAGTCATTAAATAACAAGCTTCTTCAAGAGCAACTTTAGAAACAATGGTTTTGGGAAACAGCTCAGAGATTTAACAATGCTCCTACGAAGGTTCTAACGATTAATTTAGCCTTAAGATCCTTTTGGAAAACCGGGCCCTGGTTAGCATAAAGTTAAAGAAAAAATGGCAATTGGAAGAACTGTCTTCTTAAGATGGTTTTTTAAATCCAGGCCTTGCTTCATTACTCCAATGATGCCTCCAAGAGAATACATGGCCCTTGTGCTCTGCTCACTGCCTGATAAACCTATGAAGTAAAAAAATACATTTTGCATAGCCAAGTTAGCTAATTAGTTCAGGCCTCCTTACACTTTCTTGATCCCTGAGGTTGTATTCATAAAGCATCTTAGAGTAGGAGTGCTGGTCTACTGTATGTTCAGTTGTGGCTTAAAGATCCTACTGAATATTTCATGGACTGGGAGGACCTGATCATAGAACAGCATTCCTACTCTAAGACGCTTTATGAATAGGCCTACAGGCTGTGGCCTTACACTTTTTTGATTGTTGGTCAATAACGGGATCAAGATGTCCACAGGATACCATGGAGTCCGACATTGACATTTGTTCCTACCTGACAACATTATTGGGATCTACACACAGGAAGGTGTTAAAACTCAAAGCCGTAACTAAACGGTAAAGCAAAATAATTAAAATGTGTTAGGTTGCGAAACTTGCAAATGATCAACCATTTCAGAAGACTGAGAAAGTGTAGTTTTTCTGTCCTTGGAGTATGATTAACCAGCAATGTGCCGTTATAAATGTTCTCATCACTCACTCATTCTCTGGATTAGTGGAGAGAAGCACGTTTTTAATGTCGGTAATGCTTTTTCAGATTCCACACTATCATTCAGGTTACTCCTTCTTTAACTTTTATTAACATTTCAAGTACTGGTGACAAATCATGCATTCCGATTATAATGGATTATAATGGACACATATGATGTGTGTAAAATACTTTTTTGAAGGTTGTACTGATTATGATGAGTTAATGCTAAGCTATTTGCCGGTTATGTGTGGAGCTATGTTTGTTGACATCATTCAATGCATTCTGGGTGTCACATAAACATCTGTCAGACCAAAATGAGGTGAAGGCATGGTTCACTCGTCTTTTGAGTAAACTTCCGGAAGTGAATGATGGTAGAAGACACCACCCTCCCTTAGCCTTCAACATGCATACTGCAAACAGACCTAACTCATCTTGTCACATCTTCTTATCATCTTTGGTTGACGCAGAAAAACAAACATGGCAGCGCGCACAAACTCTACCCATTGTGGGATTTTTTTAGACAGTGTTTTACTCAATTATTTAACATATATTTTAGTAATTTAGCAGACGCTCTTATCCAGAGCGACTTACAGTTAGCGAGTGCATAAATTTTTCTAATACTGGCCGCCCGTGGGAATCGAACCCACAACCCTGGCGTTGCAAGCGCCATGCTCTACCAACTGAGCTACAGAGGAGGCCCAATCACTGGTGAACTCACCCTGATGTGATGAATTGTAAATAGTAATTGTTATTAGCTTATTCATATTATGGTTTCTATCTGCCAAGAGTTGACTAAATATGACCTCTTGTGTTAGCTCACGCTTTACTCAGTTAGCGCTAGGACTAATGTAGCTTATATTTTCCGATTTCAATGAGAATTGTGTTATGCTGTTGCTACTTCTGTAAATGTCTGAACATTGCATCCAAAAATAAACTGCTCAGATTGAGGACATAATGTTGTAAAGACTGTGTTTGTGCAAAATGTTTCTGTGAAAAAACAGTTTGGCCAGCTCAATCGCTGATCGTCAAACCTCAATCGTAACAAGACGTTCTAATGAAGTGTTCTAATCACACCGGTTTGAGCTTACGCTGCGGGGACCACTGTAGTATGATCACACCCGTATGTTCGTACACGTCAAAGTGTAGAAGATTCCCCTCAACTATTCTGTTTATTTATCCTACAGGACCTCGGCTCTGAAAATAAAATATTTAGCAAGTTGCAAAAGCTGTTTCAAAAGTATTTTTTTCGTTTTACAGTTGAAGTCGGAAGATTACATACACCTTAGCCAAATACATTTAAACTCAGTTTTTCACAATTCCTGACATTTAATCCTAGTAAAAATTCCCTGTTTTAGGTCAGTTAGGATCACCACTATATTTTAAGAATGTGAAATGTCTGAATAATTGTAGAGAGAATTATTTATTTCTGCTTTTTATTACTTTCATCACATTCCCAGTGGGTCAGAAGTTTACATACACTCAATTAGTATTTGGTAGCATTGCCTTTAAATTGTTTAACTTGGGTCAAACGTTTCAGGCATCCTTCCACAAGCTTCCCACAATAAGTTGGGTGAATTTTGGCCCATTCCTCCTGACAGAGCTGGTGTAACTGAGTCAGGTTTGTAGGCATTCTTGCTCGCACACGCTTTTTCAGTTCTGCCCACACATTTTCGATAGGATTGAGGTCAGGGCTTTGTGATGGCCACTCCAATACCTTGACTTTGTTGTCCTTAAGCAATTTTGCCACAACTTTGGAAGTATGCTTGGGGTCATTGTCCATTTGAAAGACCCATTTGCGACCAAGCTTTAACTTCCTGACTGATGTCTTGAGATGTTGCTTCAATATATCCACATAATTTTCCTTCCTCAAGATGCCATCTATTTTGTGAAGTGCACCAGTCCCTCCTGCAGCAAAGCACCCCCACAGCATGATGATGCCACCCCCGTGCTTCACGATTGGGATGGTGTTCTTCGGCTTGCAAGCCTTCCCCTTTTTCCTCCATATATAACGATGGTCATTATGGCCAAACAGTTCTATTTTTGTTTCATCAGACCAGAGGACATTTCTCCAAAAAGTACGATCTTTGTCCCCATGTGCAGTTGCAAACCGTAGTCTGGCTTTTCTATGGCGGTTTTGGAGCAGTGGCTTCTTCCTTGCTGAGTGGCCTTTCAGGTTACTGTGGATATAGATACTTTTGTACCTGTTTCCTCCAGCATCTTCACAAGTTCCTTTGCTGTTGTTCTGGGATTGATTTGCACTTTTCGCACCAAAGTACGTTAATCTCTAGGAGACAGAATGCATCTTCTTCCTGAGCAGTATGACGGCTGCGTGGTCCCATGGTGTTTATACTTGCGTACTATTGTTTGTACAGATGAACGTGGTACCTTCAGGCGTTTGGAAATTGCTCCCAAGGACGAACCAGACTTGTGGAGGTCTACAATCTTTATTCTGAGGTCTTAGCTGATTTCTTTTGATTTTCCCATGATGTCAAGCAAAGAGGCATTGAGTTTGAAGGTAGGCCTTGAAATACATCCACAGGTACACCTCCAATTGACTCAAATGGTGCAAATTAGCCTATCAGAAGCTTCTAAAGCCATGACATAATTTTCTGGAATTTTCCAAGCTGTTTAAAGGCACAGTCAACTAAGTGTATGTAAACTTCTGACCCACTGGAATTGTGATACAGTGAATTATAAGTGAAATAATCGGTCTGTAAACAATTGTTGGAAAAATTACTTGTGTCATGCACAGATCAGATGTCCTAACCGACTTGCTAAAACTATAGTTTGTTTAAAAGAAATTTGTGGAGTGGTTGAAAAACTAGTTTTAATGACTCCAACCTAAGTGTATGTAAACTTCCGACTTCAACTGTATGTGTAACTTATACTCAAGTGATTCATCACCAACACTCCAGATCTGGGATAAGTTAGTTAAATGATAAGTAAACAATAGATAACCAGTACCCACGCTTTTGTTAAAATAATTTTTCCTTCATGACATTAATGGTAATATCTCCCGAGTGGCGCAGTGGTCTAAGGCACTGCATCGCAGTGCTAGCTGTGCCACTAGAGATCCTGGTTCGAATCCAGGCTCTGTCGTAGCCGGCCGTGACCGGGAGACCCATGGGGCGGCGCACAATTGGCCCAGCGTCGTCTAGGGTAGGGGAGGGAATGGCCGGCATGGATGTAGCTCAGTTGGTAGAGCATGGCGTTTGCAACGCCAGGGTTGCGGGTTCGATTCCCACGGGGGTATGAAAAAAAAAAATGTATGCACTCACTAACTGTAAGTCGCTCTGGATAAGAGCGTCTGCTAAATGACTAAAAAAAACTAAAAAAAAAAAACTAAAAAAAAATAAAAAAATAAAATAAAATGTAAACAGCGTGTTGCCTTGATAACACTGACAAGGGCTGCAAATGCTAGAGAGTAGTGGCATTATGTTGGGCCTATTTATGGCACAAATGCTTCACAAAACACAGCTTTCGTTCTCACTGGATGATATTGCCTGCTTCCTTTGATCTGTCTGATGTTTACAATTGGCCCATCGTCGTCCGGGTTAGGGGAGTGTTTGGTCGGCCAGGATGTCCTTTTCCCATCACGCTATAGCTGACACGGTCGCCAGTTGTACGACGTTTCCTCTGACACTTTGGTACGGATGGCTTCCGGGTTAAACGAGCAGTGTGTCAAGAAGCAGTGTGGCTTGGCAGGGTTGTGTTTCGGAGGACGCATGGCTCTTGACCTTTGCCTCTCCCGAGTCCGTACGGGAGTTGCAACGATGGGACAAGACTGTAACTACCAATTGGATATCATGAAAAAGGGGTAAAAAAAATGCATAAAAAAAATTTTCTCCTTTGAAATGAGACCCAAATTATACATGGAAGGTCAGAGTCTAAGAAATTATTTTTTATGTTTTATGATCATGAAAGAGTAATCTTCCTTGAGTCCAGGCCACATAGAAAGTCATTACAACTTTCACAGCCTTTGCCAAATCTGTCTGCCAGCATCATTGTGAATGATACCAACTCTGCAATATCTTCCCTGACATAGCAGTTTTGTGTCTGTAACATTATTTTGAACTGTGGCAGAAGTGGACCCTGGATTTGGTATGTATTCTTTCATCTCCTTTTATTTGATCTCAACTGCTCTCCACAAAAGTTCAGAACACCAAATTAAAACATTAATTTATCAATCTTCATTAGGAACTAAATCAAATCAGGCCCCACTCTCTAACAGTGAATCTGCAGCTGGTCATCTAATCCTCAAGACCCCTGAGCTGACTGCACCCACCTGTATGCATACACATTTTGGATACCCCAGCCACCAGTATCCATAAGGTGATGAGGTAGGGGGCTTCCACATGGTGCCATTTAAATGTCACGATTTGTATCCCTGAGAGGCTGGACCCATGGTCCCCTCCAGCCTGGCTGTGGTTCGATCCCACCACCCCTAGCTCTGGATGCGACCCCTGGGGTGCTCCCACCTCTGTACCCTCAACTATCAGGCCCACAGTACAAGTCAGCAACAATGCCCCCAGCAGCCAGAGGCAAGTTATGCATGGCATTTCACCAAATAAATAGATAAATAAATAATGGAGCAGAATTTGTTCTCGGGGTTCTTTGAGAGTCCTGAGAACGTATTTGGCCTCTCCTGATGCCCTACGCTCCGAGAGGTTCAGGGTATTCTTGTCCCAGCATCACATAGATATCTGGAGCCAAACTGTAGTACAGACTGTTCAGCCCAGCCGGACAGAATGTTACGTTTCTGTCCCTCTTCTCTCCTCTCCTCTCTTCTCCTCTCTGACGGTGGCACAGTCTCTCTCTCTCTCTCTCTCTCTCTCTCTCTCTCTCTCTCTCTCTCTCTCTCTCTCTCTCTCTCTCTCTCTCTCTCTCTCTCTCTCTCTCTCTCTCTCTCTCAGATGACCTGCTCAATGCTCAGGTCACAGTGGTGTGGGCCGGGCCGGTGTCTGAGGGCAATGGTGCAGTGAGGGCAGAGGTGCACTGAATAACAGGCTCAAC